AAGCAAGCCGCAGGGAGAAGGGATCTCACCTAGATCACATAGATCTCACCTTCCTTGCTGGAGTTGATGGCAGGGCAGGCAGGGGAGGGAACGGCCACTTGGTCCCACTGCCTGGGCTCATGGAGGCCGGAGGGAGAATGGATCTCAGAGAGGTATCCCTGATCTCACTGTCTTTTCTGGAGCTGATGGCAGAGCAGACAGAGGAGGGCGTGGCCACCTGATCCCACTGACTGGGCCAAAGCAGGACAGAGGGAGAGGGGATCTCAGAGAGGCGTCCCAGATCTCACCTTCCTTGCTGCAGCTGATGGCAGGTCAGGCAGGGGAGTTCACAGCCACCTGGTCCCTCCAAATGGACCCAAGCAGGCCAAAGGGAGAAGGGACCTCAGAGTGGCCTCCCAGATCTCACCTTCCTTGCTGGAGCTGATGGGGCAGGCAGGGTAGGGCGCAGCCACCCAGTCCAGCGGACAGGGCCCAAGCACTCCAGAGGGAGAAGGGATCTCAGAGAGGCGTCCCAAATCTCACCTTCTTTGCTGGAGCTGATGGCGTGAAGATAGGGGAGGGCGCGGGCACCAGGTCCCACAGCTGAGGCCCAAGCTGGCCAGAGAGAAGGGATCTCAGAGAGGCGTCCCAGATCTCACCTTCTTTGCTGGAGTTGACTGCGATGAAGGCACAGGAGGGCGCGGGCACCAGTCCCGCTGATGGGGCCTAAGCATGCCTGAGGGAGAAGGGATCTCAGAGCGGCATCCCAGATCTCACCGTCCTTGCTGGACCTGATGGGGAAGGCAGGGGAGGGCATGGCCACCTGGTCCCACCACCACGGCTCATGCAGGCCAGAGAGAGAAGTGGTCTCAGAGTGGATTCCCATATCTTACCTTCCTTACTGGAACTGAAGGCTGTGCAGGCATGGAATGGTGTGGCCACCCAGTCCCACTGTCTTGGCCCATGCAGGACAGAGGGAGAAGGGGCCTCAGAGTGGCCTCCCAGATCTCACCTTCCTTGCTGGAGCTGATGGGGCAGCAGGAAAGGGTGCAGCCACCCAGTCCCACAGACAGGGCCCAAGCAGTCCAGAGGAAGAAGGGATCTCAGAGAGGCCTCCCAGATCTCACCTTCCTTTCTGGAAGTTAAGGCCATGTAGGCAGGGAAGCCTGTGCCCAACCAGTCCCCCTGACTTGGCCCAAGCAGGATAGAGGAGACGGGATCTCAGAGCGGCCTCTCAGATCTCATCTTCCTTGCTGGAGCTGATGCCACACAGCCAGGGGAGGGTGCTGCCACATTGTCCCGCTGATGGGTCCCAAGCAGGCTGGAGGGAGAAGGGATCTCAGAGCAGAGCCCAGATCTCACCTTCCTTGCTGGAGCTGATAGTGATGAAGGTAGGGGAGGGTGCAGCCACCTACTCCCACTGATGGGGCCCAAGCATTCCAGGGGGAGAAGGGATCTCAGAGTGGCCTCCCAGATCTCACCTTCTTGCTGGAGCTGATGCCACACACTCAGGGGCCGGTGCTACCACATGGTCCCATTGACTGGTCCCAAACAGGCCGGAGGGAGAAGGCGTCAGAGAGCAGCCTCCCAGATCTCACCATCCTTGCTGGAGCTGATGGCGGGGCAGGCATGGGATGCCAAGACCACTCCGTCCGGCCAACTGAGTCCAAGCAGGCCGGAGGGAGACAGGATCTCAGAGTGGCCTTGCAGATCTCACCTTCCTTGCTGAGGCTGATGGCAGGGCAGGCAGGGGAGGGCCCGGCCTCGTG